CCAACCTCTCAGGCAGGCCATACTTTTGCCCTGGTTGGAAACAGGTTTCCCCAAATGGGTCATACTCAGATTTCTGTTCAAGCTGAGAAGAAAGTAATGAACACACATTCCCTGACAGGATACATCCTGTTACTTAGTTGTCTTTTTCTGCTGGGAATTCAGGCCAACATATTGAGACAGCAATTTTTAGGCTGAGGGCACAGGCTTTGGGTTAATTTAAAAAGAGGAATGCATATTGTATGTGCTAGGGGAAGATGTGGATGTATGTGAAAACCTATCAGCAGTTTTCAGCTAACCTTGTGCACTGGGTGCTAGCTACCCAGCTCCACCCAATAGCTTTATAATCTCTTATGTAAGTCAGGCCTTTATGGCCCTTTTTGCTGCTGGGGATTGAATTCGGGGCCTTGGCTCCGGGCTCCTTTCCTTAGCAGCCTCCCCACCCCCACTCCATCCTTATTTATATATTAGGACGGGATCTCCATGAGTTGCCCACGCTGGGCTTGAACCTTCCGTCCACCTGCTTCAGCCTGCCAAAGTGCTGGGATTACAGGCATGCGCACTACACCTGGCAACCTGTATCCTCTTATACCACTAAAATGGTTAAGGTTTGCAGTGGGCAGTAGACCATCTCTGACTTCTGGCTGCTGTGCTGCCAGTTATACTCGGGACCATGTGACCTTATAGGAGGCTGCTGTCACACTAACTAGGGATGCATGGTTTTGTCTTCTCTAAACTCTGTGTTACCTAAAGGAAGATGTGTGAGGCCTTGCTCCTAGCTTGTGATTACAACCACCTCAGGAGAGCCAGAACCTCCCAATTTTTATTATCAACAAAAAGAGACTTTCATTATAAAAGGAGTAAATATTTATCACTTATTGACTATGTGCTGGGTATTGGACATTCATTTCTTCTTTACTTCCATTTGCTTTATGAGGTAGATGGTGTTATCCACATTTTAGGTGAAAACTGAGGTTCAAAAAATGAATGAAGAGGGGCTGGTGAGATGGCTCAGTGGTCTAAAGCACCTACTTAGAACAAGCTTAGCAAAGCAAAGCACAGGGACCACGGTTCAATCCCCCAGCACCACATGCCAGCCAGCCCCGCCCCCTGGTGGGCTGAGCTGGCCACACACACACACACACACACACACACACACACACACACATAAATAAATAAAATTAAAAAAAAAAAATGAATGAAGAAACATGCTGGCCATGGTGCACATGCCTGCAGTCCCAGCACTCTGGGAGGCTGAGGCAGGTTGAAGCCCAGCCTGACAACTTAGTGTTAGGGTTTATGTACAGTTGTCTCCCCAAAGCCTCCTGCAGTCAGGGGCAGCTTCTGGAGTTTGTGATTGATGACTGTGGGTGTGCATGCTGCACCTACCCCGGGCAGGTAATTTGCATTTCAGTGTAAAGGAGAAAAGAGAGGTTAGCTGCTTGAGCTGCTGCTACTCTCCATCATGCTTCTGCTGTGTGCTGCTACCAAGGAGGGCTGCCCTCTGCCGTGTGCCACTCTGCCTTGGAGCCAGCCAAGTATGGACTAAAACCTCCAGTAACTGTGAGCTTTTCTTCCTTCATTTTGGGTGTCGGGTATTTGTCCCAGCAACAAGAGAAGAGTAACTGAGACACTTAGTGAGACCTTGTCTCAGAATAAAAGGGATGGGGAATGCAGTTCCAGGCAAAGGCCCTGAGTTCAGTCCCCAGCACCGTCAGGGAAGGGGACACAAGGATCCTTGTAAATTTACATAGGTATGCAGTGGTCAGTCTGGATTGACAGTCCAGACCATGACCTCAAACCTATGTTCTTAATAACTTCACTGTATTCTTGAGCCTTTTCCTCAGGAGCAGGTACCCAGCCTCCACCTAGTTTGCTTTTTCCTAACCAGTGTTGTGGAAAAGTTCTATAAGGCAAAGAAGGTATGGGTCTTTGAAACTGAGGCCACTGGTCTTTCACTTGAATTCACAGATACCCCTTTATGCTGAAGGTCATGTCCAGCAGGCCCATGAGACCTCTGGGTCATTTTGAAATAAGTGCCTCCCAGGCTGTGGAGGTGATGAGATTTGAGTCCTGGTGGGAGCAGTATAGCCCTTGAAATGATGGTGTTTCTGTTAATTGCGTGTTATGCTCAGAAATTCAAAACTTGAATTTATAGAAAGTAAGTTTAGGATCATTTCACAGGGGAAAGGGTTGCAGCTCAGAGTTAGGTGAGTTACCCAAATCCTACAGCAGGAGTGGAGCTCCTAGCTCAGGGTTTTTTTCTCCTCCCTTCCTTTTGTTCCTTTCCTTCTCTTTTTCTTTCTTTTTTCTCTCATCTATCATCTGTCTGTCGGTCTGTCTGTCTATCTATCTTTTTAAGACAGAGTCTTGCTATGCAGCTCAAGTTGCCCCTAACTCACTATAGCACCCAGGCTGGCCTTGAACCCCTGGCCATCCTCCCTCAGCCTCCCATGTGCTGGGATTATAGGCATGCATCACCACACCCAGTTGTCAGCTACCTTTCTGTCAGCCTCTTCTGGGGATTCAGGTCCTGTCCACTGAGGGTCACATTAGAGAGCACATGTCTCGTAGGCGATGACCTGACTTTGAAGCTGCCTTGAGCTGGGGTGGTGAGTATGGCTCTAGGGAGCCCAGCCGCTGATCCAAGTGTTCTTGTCCTTGGGGGCTGGATTGTTACCTGATGGACTTGGAAGCAGTCTCAGCCTGGCAGGAGCCAGTGCAGTTGCTAGGAAAAGCCTAAGGCCTTTAGGGACAGGAGCTCTGGAGATTGCCCTGGCTAAGCTGCTGTCCCAGCCACCTCCCAGGCCAGTGCTGAGGCTCTAATGGGACAGGTTCCTAGTCTCCGAAAGTGAGGTGTCAGACTAAGGAAGTATGGTGAATGGGCTGAGGCCCAGACCTGCACCTAGAATATTCCTGGGGTGTAAAAGAAGTGCTGAGGGCACAGGCAGCAGAGGCATGATGAGCTGACAGCAGTGTTCCCATGGGTGAGAAGGAGGAAAAGAAAGAAACCCACAAGAAAGGGCCAAAACCAGAAGAGGTGAAGAAAAAAAGAGGTGGCAGGAGGCAGTGTCTAGCCAAGAGGAGAGGTGCAACTGGGTGTGGTGGCACACACCTGTAACCCTAGCATTCCGAAAGGCTGATGCAGGAGGGTTGTAAGTCCCATCTTGGCCTGGGCAACTTAGTGACTTAGCAAGATCCTGCCTTACTCAGTAAAAAAGGGCTGAGCTGCAGCTCAGTGGAGAGCTGTGGATTGGGTCTGCAGCAGCAGTAATGGTTGGTGGTGGCGATGGCGATGACAGCTGGATGCACACTGAGAATGTGACTCAGCTTTACTCGCTCTACGCAAGATTTTAGACCTTCCGTTCTGCCCTCATCAGCTGAGAGTTTCCAGGAGGTCAAGGGCCCCAGCCATCTTAGGCTACAGGCTGTGGGCTTTTCTCTGCGAACCTGACAGTCCTCAGAGAAGGCCCTGCACCATGCTGGGTCCTGGGCACCCCCGAGGTGACCCAGATTTCCGGGCTTAAGAAAGACTTTATTGTACCTGGATCCTGGAGGCTTATTCTGTCTTGGGAGGAATTGTGTCTTTTTCTGGCCTTGAGCCAAATTCTTTTCTGTGCAGAGGCCTGGACTTGCTGTTCCAGCCATAAGTGCAGCTCAGGTGCTGGAGGCCTGGGTTGCTTTGTGACTGCTGTTGCTGGGTGCTGGCCTTCCTGCTATAGAGCGGACACATAGAATTAGAAGCTGAGGAGCCAGCCTGTACTGGTGTCTTCAGGCAGCCCCTGGTCCTTCCTGCCCCTTCTCTGCAGACCCACGCGCAGAGCACCCCCTCCCCGCCCCCCTCCCGGGAACTCCCGCCTTCCTGTTCTCTCCATCCAGCCCTCCAGTCTCTTCAGGAATGCCTGGCAGGGCACAGCCCAGAGGCACCTTTGTGCCCTCCCGAGCCTGTCCTCTAACTCTGGCTAGTCAAACTACTGGTCCTCATCTCATCACCGCACCACTTCCTGCTAAACTCCCTACTGAGCAGAGGTCTTCCAGCGAGCAACTGCTCCCTCCCCAGGCTGCTGCTCTCTGCCTATCTTTTTATTTTATTTTATTTTTATTTATTTATTTATTTTTTCCGTCTCTGCCTATCTTGTTTCTGCTCGCTTGACAGAGTGCTTCTCCGCAGTCCTTGCCTCTGATGCCTGGTCTTACGGGCAGAAGTCACATCAGAGCTGGCACTGACGTCTTTTCTCCTTTCCCACCCGAGTTCTTTTTATTGGGGGGCAGGGATGTGGAGATTGAATCCAGAGCCTTCACACTGAGCTACGTGTCCCGGTCTTTTAAATTTTTTGTTTTGTTTTGGGACTAAGTTGCTCAGGCTAGACTCAAGCTTATGATCCTTCTGCCTCAACTTTCCCAGAATGTTGGGATTATAGGAGTGTGCCACGTACCAGTTAATCCCTTCCTTCTTAAGCACAGATACACAAAGTTCTCAGAAGCAGTGGAAGTTTGAATCCTTCACCATACTAAGCCAGACAAGCATTGTTGAGGAGAGGCCTCTTATCAGAAGGAAAGCTCTAGCTTAGCTTGCAAGTGTCTCTGGTATCCAGTCTTAGAAGCCCAGAAGCTTGATGTAGGCAGGATTGGGAAGGCTGAGCTGGCACTGAGGGGAGAACAAGCGGCAGATGGTGCTCAGGAGCATCCCAGGCCCGGAAATGCCGTTCCCAGAGAGGGGAGCCAGGGAACGTTGCAAAGTCTTTCTGAGCAACTGTGAGACTGGCCAGAGCAAGCTTCAGGACACGGTGGAGAGCACAGTTACGGTATGGAGATCCAAGTGGCCTCAGTCACTTGCTGCTCTGTCACCTGCAATACCCAGTGAGCAGCCTTGGTGGGGACTGGGCTGGGAAGGAAAGACACCCAGTGAAAGCTATTAGAAAGTAGCAGAAACCTGAGGAAATGCTCCCTGAGGCAGTGTGACCCTGTGGCCCCAGCCCCACCTGGCCTTTGACCTCCCCCAGGTGCTGGAGGTGGTGCGAGCCAACTACGACACCCTCACACTGAAGCTGCAGGATGGCCTGGACCAGTATGAGCGCTACTCTGAGCAGCACAAGGAAGCTGCCTTCTTCAAGGAGCTGGTGAGTATATGTTGCTGCCTCTGGCTCCGGGTTCTGCTGTGTGGGGGCATCTGGGGAGCAACTGCAGATGCCGAGGCTGGTAAAGCAGCCTAGCGGGCTCCCCTGGAGTCAGGCTTGCAGCTACTCTACAAAGCCAGAGGAAAGAAAATATCGCTGAGGCAGAAGTTCACCTTTCTCACAGCAACAGAAATCGCTCTTGTGCAGCCCTCTCGGCCTGGGTTGGTCATGTGTGTCCAGTGGTGGCTTTGGGTCATTGTGCCTTACCCTATAAGAGTAGTGTGTTCTTTTTATATAGTCACCTCCTGAGGTTCCATCTGGCTCCTGGCCTGAGCACCCTCCTAACTAATCCCTGCCTGGCCCCTGGTCTCCCCGCCACTGGCGTTTCCTAGTCTTTACCCCATGCCCAGCCCCACTTTCCAGTCACTCAGCTTGCTACAGCCTCCACCTTGGACCCCAGGAGCCAGTGAATACTTGCTCTGCCTCCTGCTCCACCTTGCTGCCAGCATCTCTGGAAAACAGCTTCTCCTACTGACCATTCCTTTCCTGCCCTTGCCCCAGAGCTTTCTCAGGAAAAGTGTCTCTCCTCCCCCCCCCCCAGCTCTGCTGTCCACCATTCGCCTGCTGTACACAGGCTTCCTGTCCAGAGACTTGCCTTAGATGCACTGGGCTCTACTTGCTTCCCGTGTTCGCAGCTTCCTTCTGCTGGGGTATAACTTCATCAGCCAAGCTCCTCCTTTCCCACATCAACTCTGTGGGAAAAGTGCTGGGTTTCGGGTCACCTGTCTTGTGCTAAATCAGCCCCAGTTTGACCCTAACATGACATTCCTCAGGATCTCTCTGGGGTGAGTTAGTTAAGAACAGGTAGCTGTGTTAGTTACTTTAGTTTTGTTGAGGCAAAATACCCAACCCAAAGTTGGAGGGGAAAGGGCTTACTGAGCTCACAGTTCGTAGAGGTTTCAGTCCATAACTGGCTGGCTCCAAGGCAGAGGGCATCACAGAGGAGAGACGGTTCTCAGCAGGCAGGGGTAGCAAAGCAAGCAAGGGACGACCACAGCTCCTTCCACCCCTCATATCTTATCCAGGCTGCTCGGGGCGGGCAGCACTCACACCCTAATCCTAGGGCCCTCGGTCCTGGCACCGCACTGTCTAGATCCAGCCACTTCTGAGTCATGCCCTACCTATGACTCCATAAGCCTTTGGGGAACATCCAGACCCAAGCCGTTAGTGTGAGGAGTATTTTTATGGAGTGGTTGGTGACCCTTTATGTTGATGTAGGATAATTACTGGAAGCCAGCAGTAAAAAAGAGAATTAGTTATTGGGGAGATGAAGAGGGTTGTGAAAGAATCAGAGGACGTGGTTCATGAGACTGTCTGGTACTGGCTTCGCCCTACTCAATTCTCTTGCCTGCACGCTGGCACACGGGAGCAGAGCTGACCTAGTTCAAGTGGAAGCTGCTGCGCCTGAGTTGCCTGTCGCTGGGCACGCTGCCCTTTCCTTCGCTTCTTCCCTGACCACTTCATCCCACCACCTTTCCCAGGTTCGATCCATCAGCACCAATGTCCGGAGAAACCTGGCGTTCCACACACTCAGCCAGGAGGTCCTGCTGAAGGAGTTCTCCACTATCTCCTGAGTCCACGCCCTTCGACAGCCACTGACTGCCCTTACTCACAAGGCTCTTGGGCTAGAGGGGGAGAAGGGGCTGCCTCCAAGGTTGGAGAGAAACTCAGACACTGAGGCCTCTTGATGAAGACCACACCTCAGTGGAGCCTGGACAGCAGCAGCAGCCAGGGGCTCTTACTTAGGAATGGGTGGGCAAGGGGAGCCACATCCAAGAGTGTGGGGGCTTCCAGGACACCCTCGCGCATTTGCAGGTGTTGGTGGGCTAAGCTGTGGGTGATAGTAGCACCCTGAAGCCCACTGGCTTTCATGGATCCTGCCTGCTTTGGGCCCAGAGCCGAGCTGGGCTTGAGAAGGATTACTTTTTTTGGCTGGCTCAGGCTACCTTAAGAGCAAGTCTGGTGCAGCATGTATGTGGTACTGGGGATTGAACGGAAGTCCCTTGCCCCACACTGAGTTTGCTCAAGAACGCGCTTTAGACAACTGAGGTAAGCCGCCAGCTCCCCTGAGCTGGGTTTGAAATATGTGTCCCCCTGCCCCTACTGGCAATCTGTCATAGGACCCTTAGCTCAGGCCCAGGGTAGGTATTGTTTTCTAAATTCTTCTAAATTCAGAGTTGCTGTCTCTGAAGATTGCATCTCCCCGGAGCACTTCTGTCCAGCCACCACTCTGCAGATCTTAAGTTTTGGCATGGGGTACCTATTAGCTTTCTCCTGCCTTCCAACCACTGACTCTTCAGCACAATAGGCTCACAACCGTAACGTTTTATTTTTAGTCTGGTTTAAACTGCCCATGGGTGTGTGTGAAATAAACGCTTGATGGGTTTTCTGGACCCCTCAAGGTGCCTGCCTTGCTAGTTCCCTTTCCAGCAGCTCCCCTGCAGTGGCCAGCCCTCCCCAGCCAGCTGCCCTCCATGAGCTCCACCCCCTCACCCTGCTGTTGTTTACATCCAGCCAGCCTGAGCATTTCCTCTGGGGAGGAATCTGTTCCTGCTCTGGTCTGGTGCCTGGGAGGGAAAGAACCTGGGTGAGTGGGCGGGGTGCCCTCCATCTAAAGAGGCTGTGCCTTTGGCTTCTTTGGGTGGCCTCTACGGGACCAGGGCAGGCTTTCCCTGCTACCCCACAGCTGCCTCCCAATAGCTGCTGTTCCAAGACCATCCTTTTCTCAAGTCCTTTTAAAGCCCTCAGGATGGTAGGAAGAAAGCAGTGAAGGAAGAATCAGAGTGTGCAGGAATCCCACTGTGAGAACAGGTGTGAGACCGTCCTAGCGCTACCCAATAGGCCTCAAATCACTAGTTTCAGAGCATCTGCCAACAGACTGCTACACAGAATGGAGGTTCATAAGGGGTCATGGGCTGGGTTATCTCTGATCACTGGCCATTACTTGGGGGCTCACCCTGGGGCATGTGGGGTCTTCCTGGTGATAAAGTCCATGGCAGCTAGATCTGGAACTGCGGACAGGCCGAAGTTATTAAAAGTTTATTTGTGGGACAGTCTTTTTAGTGACTTTTTTCCCCCCACTAAACTCCATTGCCCAGATTCATTTCTCAAAGACAAATTTAAGCTGATCTGCTGGTCCCCTGGCTAGAGAAGCCTGCTTGTCCTTACAGACTCCTCCCCTGCATCTCTGGCCCTAGTAGAGGCCTGTTGGGTTGAGAGTTTTTAGCCTCCCTTGCCCAAGCGTTTCAGTATGCTCCACAAATCTGCAGCTGCGGGGCTGGGGAGATGGCTCAGTGGAATAAGCGCTTCCCTGGCAAGGGCCTGAATTCAATCCCCGGTTCCACAAAAAAAAAAAAAATTCTGCAGCTGCGGGAAGGTGGAGAGCCTCTCGGGCATTTGGTGGAGATCCCGCCCTGTGCCTGCACAGTACCATGAGGTTTGGCTCCCGAGAGCTGGGGCTGCTGATCTGACCAGAGGTGTTAGAAACAGGAAGCAGCTGTAAATACAGATTAAGCTTCCTTGTCTGTGGCCAGGGTTGGGGACCCCTGCTCTAAGGAGAAGAGTGTTCCCTTGTCTCCAACCACTGGTGTTGAGGCCAGCAGTCGTCCCTTGGGCACCTTCAGGGTTCCTGCCAGTTCCCCTAAAAAAGTGAGCAAGGGTAGGTTGGTCACAGGCACCACGCAGAGGTCTCCCTGCCCTCCATGGGAAAGGTTGAGCTCCAGGCTGGCCTGACCGTAGGGTACTTGAAATCCCGACTGGGCCTACGGAGTACTGCCCAGCCATTCTTCTTCATATACACGATTCCAGGAGAGGGCCTCTTCCCCTTCCAGAATAACCCTTAGAGGAAGCTGCCCTTCACTGTTCAGACCTAGCCTTTGCGCCAGATCTCGTGAGGTGAGCCGCGCCGCGCAGGGAGATGCTCTCACGTCCTGCTGCAGCTCCTTCTCTCTCCTGCTGGGACTCTTGCTCCGTCGCGGTCATCCAAGTGCTTGGACGGGAGATCCAGTGGCCGAAGTTAAATGTGCAGAGTCTCAGCAGGCCACCCCTCCAGACCCACCAGACATGTGCCCTTCCCAGTGACCTGCATTAAGTGTCCTGCCCCATTCTCCAGACAAGGACTTAAACCCAGGGACGGTGGCTTCATAAAAGGTGTGTTTCCTGTTTGTTATCACCTGGATCCCCAAGTGCTTCAGTGAACCCCCAGATCTGCTGGAAAACAAGGCGTCTTGGTCAGATAGGGCAAGTAACAAAAGAGAGGGGCAAAAAAGTTGAAAGAAAAGGGGAATGAGGGGGTGGACAAAAGAGCAGGGTGGTTTGGAGACACTGACCTGGTTCACTGTTTCCTTAACTTTTTATTGGTCAGCGGGGTCACCACATGGGGAGAAGGTACTTAACAGTGATTGAGGCTCCTCCAGGTGAGTTAGGGACCTGCGGAGCACCTGAACCAAGGAAAACTCCCCTGGCAGTCAGGGGCCCTGTACTGGACCCGAGCAGGGCTTGATGTTGGACAGTGGTCCTCCCCATCTGTCCAAAGCGGGGTGACGAAGGCCACGGAGGGGAACTGACTGGAAACGGCCCAGGAACGGCCTTGCTCGGCGCAGCCCCGGGCTCTGGCTCCGCCACGCTGTGGGGGAAGGGGCAACCGTGATGGGGCGGGGTTTCCTCCCCAAGGCCCCTCTGCCTCGGAGTCTCTCCGCCCCGTCCCGGGCTTCAGCTTGCGCAAGCCGCGCTCGTCCCGCACTCTCCAGTCTACTGTCGCCGTGCGCCTTCCCTGCGAGTGGTCGTGGTGGGGAACCAATCCGGGCCGCGCCGGGGGGAGGCGGCGGTGACAGCCGCGGGGAGGGGGCGGACGGAGAAGGCTCCGCTCGGGTTCTGCTCCGCTCCTCGTTCGCGCGCCTCCCCGGCCGCCGAGCTCCAGCCCGGCTACCCTTTGGCCGCCCCGGCCCCCCGGCCCGCCCGCGCGTTTGCCACCAGGGGGCGCTGTGTGAGCCAGCGCCTTGCCGGGCCACCCGGCGCCCCCTCCCACGGGCCCCGGCGGGAGGCGGGCGCCGGGGGCCATGCGGGGCCAGGGCCGCAAGGAGAGTTTGTCCGACTCCAGGGACCTGGACGGCTCCTACGACCAGCTCACCGGTGAGTCGGTGCCGCAGGGGTCGTGGGTGGGAGGGCAGAGTCTTTCCCCCAGACCCGTCACCCCCGGCCCTAGCTCGGGCCCCACCGGTGCGCGGCCCACCTCCCGGACCCCTCCTAGCTAGTCTGGGCGGCAGGACTCTGGGTCGAAGCTTTGGGTCCCGCAGGGTGGGGGTAGGGGCCAAGGTATGGAGAGGCAGCAGGTGTAGGCGTGTGTGACACGGGGCTGGGAGTGTGCCTGGAGTGGGCGGTGTTACGTGAGTGAACGCCTGTAACAGTTGCTTGTGGCTGTGTGTGTGTGTGTGTGTGTGTGTGTGCGCGCGCGCCTCCTACAGCTGGTTGCCATGTGCCCTGGATTTGGTGACAGCCAGGGTGAGTGCAGTTGCTGTGTGGCAACGCAAGTGTTGTCAGGTTTGAGTGAGATTGTGTAAAACCTCGGGTGTTCTGGTGTTCTGACCGCCTGTCTCTGTTATGTGTGCAACATTGTGCTTTGAGTGTGTGATTCTGCATGAAGTGGCATGTGATGCCAGAGTGACTTAGGTTCGCTGTTGTCATGTCTCTTTCTGAGGCTTTCTGACTGAACCTCAGGGCTGTCCACTTAAGTGCATGGTGGTGTGTTTTGTGACGGCGAGAGAAGGGGAATGGTAGAGCGTTTGGTCTGATTGTGTATCTGAAAGGCTGTGCCCGCAGTGGAGCTGTGCATGTACACAGTGCCCTCATTTGTCCCCTCTTTTCCTCGCTGGTTTTCTGGCACAGGTGGTAGTCCTCAGTGCGCTCTACTGCTTCCCTAAGTTTTTGCAAATAGCCCAGGTGGATCCAAGAGGGTACTCAAGTGTTCAGCTGCCCAGGCTGGCTCCTAGGAGCACCCTGTGGTTCCAGCACCTCAACCCTGTAGGGAAGCCCCAAGAGTTACACAGATTGCTACAGCTGAACCTCCCTTGGTCCCCAAAAACCCTCGTAGAACTTTATCCAAGCCCCAGAGAAAACGCATCACATCTTGCCTCCCTAGAGAGTTGCCGAGAGAAGCTCAAGGCCTGGGATTGCTGGCTGGCCGTCCTCGAATACCCACAGCCACCCTGCTGCGGCACATCTTCTCTTTCTCTGTGTAGAGTTATGTGTGAGACCAGCACTCTCCCTTGGCTTGGTGGCACGGATGTGTGTGTGTACAGGTGACTGTCACCTCACGTCCATTTCCATGTATGTTTGTGTTTGTGTCTTGTTGTGCAGCCCTGCCTAAGAACTCCGGCTGAATGGGGCTGGGGAGGCTGTCTGTCCTGCGGGTGGCACAGCTAAGGACATAGGGAAAGCCATGAGCTTCCAGAATGGAATCAGGTGAGACCTGGGAATGGGGAGGAGGACTAGGATGACAATGAGTGACTGCCCCATTCACGGATGCCAAGGTGCCCTTAGTTGCAGTACCCCTCCCCAAAGGGGACTGTCACACAGGCAGGCCCCAGATGTGGAACAATGCCAAATGTGTATCTGATCTGGATGGACTCCCAATGGTCCAGTTACCCATTACTGTGACCTCCATTCCCACTCGCAGCTCTGGGTCCTCAGAGGAGTAAAAGCCCAGGCCTCACTGATAACCACATTGGTTGGTGTTTGCTACTTGCCTTAACTGATTGTCCCCTTTAGTGAAGTCACCCCTCTTGACAAGGCTGTTTGGCTCAGAGATTGGGTGGGTTGGGGAGATGCTTGTCCTCCAGGGTGGACGTTGGGTCAATCAGGAGAGAAACGTGCTTGCTCTTTTGGCCTCACTTTTCTCCTCTGTAAAACGGCAGCACTACCTTCCTGCCAGCCTCTCGAAGGAAATGAAAAATCCAAATGTTGACAAACACCCAGAACTGTGGCCCCTGTCATCAGCATCTTGTCTGTAGATGCACCGCACATAATTTAAGAAGTAGAAGCGAGCTGTCAGCCTCAGGTTGCTGTGGTTCGATCCCCACAACTCCAGCCAGCCCAACCTGCCCTGAAGGCATTCGGAGCAAAAAAAAAAAAAACCAAAAGAAGTAGAAGCGGGCTGGTCAGGTAGCTCAGTGGACTAAAGCTCCTGTTTAGGCAAAGCGCAGGGACTGGGGATCGACCCTGTTGGTGTGCTGTGCCAGCCCCACCCCAGGGGCGCGCTGAGAGGGTGCCTGCGACTGGGCATGGTGGCGCTTTAATTCCAGCACTTTGGAGGCTGACAACAGAAGGATCACTACGAGTCCGATCTGTGTAGTAAGACACTGTAGATCCTGTGTTAAATACATTAAAAAAAAAAAAAAAATACAAGCCCCAGTTCTTAGTCCTAGGTCCCTAATCCCAGGACTTTGGAGCTAAAGCAGGAGGATCGCAAGTTCTAGGACAGCCTGAGCCATAAACAGGCAAGACCCTGTCTCTAAAAAAAATGTAAAAACAAGCCTACCAGGATCTGTCCACTGAGGAGGCTCGTACGGGTTTGGGAGGGCCGTGCTAAGGAAGCCTGGAGGTCGTTAGCCTTGGTGCTGAAGTGCCCGAGCTGCCTCTGCCCTTCCTGGAGTGAGCGGAACTCCGCGGGTCAGACAAGGCTCCGCTCAACCCCCGGAGCCCTGGCCCATCGGAGTGCAGAAACGGCCTTGAAGTTGCACCTCAGGGGGTTTGGGTGCCCCCAGCTTTCATCTTGCACTTTTGCCCCACGCTCCAAACAGCCAGGAGAATCTTCAGGGCGACAAAATCTAAGCCCTGTCCCACCCAGCCTCCTAACCCTTTGGGTCGCTTGGCGGCATGGCACAGAGGGAAAAGACGGAGATCAGGGTCGACCCTGGCCGAGCAAAGAAAGAAAGGACAGGAGTTGGTTAGGGGGGGGTGTCTCACCAGCACCGCCAGAGCTCGGGCCTGACCCTGCGCTCTTGGAGTCTGGCCGACCCCGAGCACTGTTCCTGGGAGTGGGGCGCCCCCGTGTGGTGGAGAGGAGTCACGAGCGCAGAGCTGATCGGTGAGAGACTCAAGGCACATTCCGAGATTATATTCTTGTTTGGTTTTGTTTCCGTTTCTTTTTCTCATCTTGCTGTGCAGCACAGGCTGGCCTTGAGCTCACGTTGTAGCACAGGCTGGTTTCGAATTCACAGTGATCCTCCTGCCTCAGCCTCCCGTGTGCGGGGACTACAAGCATGCGCCCGCATGCTCAGCATCCCTCTTCTTAAATGTGAGATTTTTGAACGCCCCATAAGGTATCATCTGGGTCGGAAGAGTGGACCAATCTCAGGTCCACAATTTCTCAGGGCCCAAAGGGGCTCCCATCTGATAGAGTCCGGATGGGGCAGGGACAGGGGCCTCCTCTTGGTGACTAGGCTGGGAGCACAGCCTGTGCCTCTGCCCTGTGGCCCACTTTTTTCCTTCTGCTTTTTCTTCCATTAGCCCGGGAAGTGCGGAAGGTGGGGAGGGAGTTGCCCTGACAACTGTGTCCTCTACCCCTTGGTGTCCCTGTGCCAAAATGGGTGAGTGGCTGGTAGAGCAGGCGTGGAACGAGACAGTATTGGGAGATGCGTTTTGTGCCCATCCCAGTGCTTGGCCTCCCCGCTGCAAATCTAGAAGCCGATGCTGAGCGGGAGGGAACTTTGAGGCGGTGCGGACCTAGGCCGGAGGCGGGGCACGGCCGAGATCGAAGGCGGAGGGGAGCTGGGAGCTGGGAGCAGCCACAGCTCTGCCGACCATGAGCCGCTGCCCCCGCAGGTGCCAGAGCCCCCTGGGGCAGGCGGCGAGGTCCCTCTACCAGCTGGTGACTGGGTCCCTGTCGCCAGGTACGTGGATGGGGAGGGGGGTAGGGAGGGCGGGCCAGAGGGCGGGTGACAGGAGAAGAGAGGAACAGGAGCCTCCAAGCCCCGTCGGAGGAGGTGCAGCTAGGGACACTACCCCTCTGAGCCAGGGGCTCCTTGAAGGTGGGAAGGGCTCACCCGGTAAGGGGCAGGGCCCAGGGATGGAGGAAAAGGCTCTTGGCTAAACTGCGCACTGCTGGAAGTCAGTGAAAGAGCCCTAAGGCAGTATCCAGAAGGAAAAACCTGCTGTGGGGTGACGCCACACCATCCCCACTGGAGCCAGTGCATGACAGGAAGGGCAGGGTGAGGACTGTGGCCTGGGGCTGCACACCTCTGGGTTCCTAGTGTCTTGCACTTTCTTTCACTTTGGGCTGCGACTTCCAAGTGACTAAGTTCCTTGTACTTTTTGGAGTTCTGTCCTAGTATGGGATCTGTGTGTGGACTGTGGTGATTGTGCAGTCCCTCCACCAAGTTGTGTGCACATTTCCAGTTAGGTTTCCCTTAGGGCTGCTGGGCAGGGCTCACAGAACCTGAGGTCCCCTCTCCACCTGGCTGCAAGGAGACCCTGACGAGGCAGCCTGGATGGGCTGAGGTGTGGGTTACCATTGTCTCCGTGCAGGATGAGCAGGGCCTGTGGCTGCTCCTTGCTTCATGGCCCCAAGAGGAGACGAACGGGCTGAGCTAGAGCCCTGTCTGAAGCCCCTCAGGGAGCTTACTCCCTGAACCCCTGCTTGGGCTTGTCTGCAGTGACAGATGGCCCGAGCCAGGCAGGGCCAGCTCTCAATCTTTACAGGCTTGACTTCCAGGACCCAAAATAGCCCGGGTGTCGGGGAGGCCATTCATCACCCGCTTCAGCGGGGGGCTGTGGTATCCTGGCTCAGCTGGGAATGCAGGGAGTAAGGATCAGAGAAGGGTCTTCGTGGGCTGGCCCACAGCAGTGAGCTGTACAGGGTGGGCTCCTCCCAAGGTGCAGGGGTCCAGGCTTGAGCTGTAGGAGCTAAATGGCCATGTGATAGCAAACTGCTGGTGGTGGATGAAGTCTGCGGGACCTCAGAGGGGCCACTGGGCCCACCACAGGCCTGCAGGCGTCCTCATGGCCTGAGCTGCTGCCTTTATAACGTTGCAGCGCTCAGCCAGGGAGAGTCGTGCCTCTGGGGCACGCAGCCAGGAGCCCTGGGAGCAGCCTGCTCTTTCTTCCTGACAGACCCTCCTGCCAGACCTGTCTAA